CAAATAAAACCTTACAACACGTGTTTTTGAAATCTAGGTTACGTCTTACCCTCTACTGGCTTCATTGTAAACTTGTACAAAACGACAACCCAGACAATACTGTCAATCTAACATTGTGATTATGCTCATACATAACACTCTTTTAGACGGTTTTTTTTTCTTCTCAGCGCACGTGTTCGTATATGTTTTCGTCCAATGTGTCTTTATAGTAGTAAGTTTATTATGTACGTGTCATTTATTTATTCAGCCGTCGTGTATTTACAACAGTATTTGTTGATAAAAAAAAAACTATTATATTTTATTCACAGATGAATAGGTATAAAAATAAAACTGCACGGTGTATTAAATTAGTATAGAGCTGATATTTATTATTCAATAATAGATTAAATTATTACTGTTACCTTCGACAGTAGCCAAATCAATCAGGTAATAAATGAGTCTATAAGTGCTGTAGCTAGTGTTCCTGAATTAAACACCGTTAAGAAGCTGTGGAAAAATATAATTTATTGTAGTTTTATTTTTTCAAATGTTCAACAGTTTCGTTCTCATCGCCATTGGTCTTTATCCAACCAACCAATGGCTTTTAATGGTTCGAGACGGCTTGAATGGGTAATGAAGAAAAACTTTAATATAAGTTTAACATTACAGCAAATGTACAAAGTTTCGACAAGGTTTTGTCATCATCAGGTACCACAAAACCTTGTCGAAACGTTGTACATTTGTTGTTATGTTAAACTTATATTAAAGTTTTTCTCCATTACCCATTCAAGCCGTCTCCAACCATTATTAGTCTCAAAGTGGGTTCCTCGTCATCGAATTTGAAAACCAATGGCTTTAAATAACACATGTCATACTGTTACTAAGTGTCCACTTACTGTTACTACTACATTAACATGGAGTCATTAATCTCTTAGTTTTAAGTTATGTTAGTTTTATGATTTTTTTTCTAATAAGCAGCAAATCTCTACATTTCAATATGGTGATGGTGCTATAATTAGTATGTTTTAACACAAGGCTACATAATGGGCTATTTACGCTGTTACCGACGCGAGGATGAAATCCTTATTTCTAACGTTACAAACTCTCAAACTCACCATGGAGTAGATTTCAGTGACCCTTCAACATGTATTAGTTGCATCAACTAGCTTTCTCTGGCACATTTTACATATATATATATATATATCGGACGATTTAAAACCACACAACGACAACAGAAACATATATTTCTGCCCATATTAAACACCTTCCGACGTCTGGTGGTAAATCCTAGTGAGCTAGAGGATTGGCTTTGTTCGTTCCTAGAGTGAGACAACATTTCGGTTTCTATAGACGCCGAAACGTCATCACACTCTACTAAAAACAGGAATCGATTAAGGCAAAAACTCTATTATAACTACACTGCCTAAAATAACTTTGAAACAACACAACACTAAGATATTTCACTGACTGTATTCTTAAAAGTCCCACTAGAGGTCAGGACCGAATTCAAGACCTGAAGGAAGGGCCCTCAGAACCCAACTTCATAAACAACTCAAATACAGTTCAATAGTATTTATTAACTACAGTTTCAACAATACACAAACACAAACGATGGGTAAATAATGTTCAAAATACTAATTCTAATATTCGTAATAAATATTCCCTTTCGACAGTGCTCGGGTTATAGGGTTTTTATCGTTTTGTGTCAAGAACCTAGGCGTTTTTCTGACATCATAAACGTAGTAAATATTATAATATTCGTAATAAATATATAGATAAAGAATTTCTATATCATATATAAAATAACAACAATGAATTTGCTCGTTAAATGGCCAAGCAAATATTTACGAAAGAACAAGCTGTAAGAACATCTCAATGAAAAATTACAAAATAACAGATTTATATCAAACGACTAAAATTCGCTATTGTCATAGTTACACAGTTGCAAATACGTGTTTTTCAATGAGACACCCAGTTTTGATTTTTTTTTTCTCTCTTAGTCTCTTTCGATCCGGGATCCAGAGTAATAGCATCCATTTTCACCATTCCCATTAATCCGAATTAGAATATCTGATTTTGTTAACTTGAATCAGGGTAAATCAAACTCTAACAGGTTTCTCAATACTGGAATCTCTAACGTCACCACTGATTTTGGATTATTAAAATATTGTAACAGATACGGAACAAAATACAAAACAAGAAATCGGAATAAAATTTAAAAAATGCGTGTAATACTAACGAGTTTTCAACACGTTCTCTTTCTCTACACATTAAGAAAATGTCGACTCGTAACGTGAAAAAAAAAATTGAAGTAATGCATGCAATAGTGAAAATTGAAATGTCATAACACTAAGAAAACTGACGCAACGCGTATATAATAAGGAAAATAATACTTCATTCCTCATTAGAAATTAGTGAACATAGGAAGACTGCACTTTGTTTCTTACTAAACACAATGGAAACCCTAATTTTAGAATTGTAAGCTGGGCCACCGTAGAGCAAGTTTGTTTGTTTGTTTTACGTTAAGCACAAAGCTACACAATGGGCTATCTGTGTTCTGCCCACCACGGGTATCGAAACCCGGTTTATAGCGTTGTAAGTCCGCAGACATTCCGCTGTGCCACTAGGGGGCGTCGTCTATGCAAAGCGCTACTCGCTAAATTTTAATAGAAAATATAAATTATAATCATTTGTATATTGTATATAATTATTTTACATAATACGTGTAACTGTTTCGGACTTAATTAGACCCGCCTACGCTACCTAGCATGTTCAGCTGATTCGATCTGATATATTATCTATGTTTGTTTTGAATTTCGCGCAAAGCTACACGAGGGCTATCTGCGCTAGCCGTCACTAATTTAGCAGTAAAAGACAGAGGGAGGGCAGTTAGGCATCACCACCCATCGCCAACTATTTTACTAACGAAGAGTGGGATTGACCGTCACATTATAACACCCCCACGGCTGAAAGGGCAAGAATGTTTGGTGGGACGGGTATTCGAACCCCCGACCCTCAGATTGCGAGTCGAGCGCCCTAACCAACTGGCCTCATAGAATATACTCTTTAAAATGGCGAAATGTGTCTTGTTCGATTGTAGCCTTCAGTTCGTTTACAGATATCAGCACAGAAAATTGGGGTGGCAAATATTATATTCAAATATACAGACACACATACACATTACAAAGTTGTAATCTAAAGCCTAGTCATAGAGTTCAGGTTTTAAGACTGTAAAATGCATCGATTTTCGATTAAATATTTTTGTTTTATGCGCAAGTTTCAAACGATGGTCTATCATCACTGTGTCCCCTTGCAGGGAATCGACCCCTCTTATAATTTTCGATTAACATAGTGACACCTTTGAATAATAAACGACAATTTAAATTGTGAACATGTTTTTCAGCTACATATGTACTTCATCTGGGGTAGTTTAACGAATCAAATATATTGCCTGTGCTTAAAGGGAAACGACTTAACTGAATGAACTTGGAAGAGTTGTTTTTGAATTTCGCGCAAAGCTACACGAGGGCTATATGCCCCTAATTTAGCAGTGTAAGACTAGAGGGAAGGCAGCTAGTCATCACCACCCACCGCCAACTTTTGGGCTATTATTTTACCAACGAATAGTGGGATTGACCGTTACATTATAACGCCCTAGGGCTGAAAGGGGGCGAGCATGTTTAGTGTGACGGGGATTCGAACCCGCGACCCTCGGATCGCGAGTCGAGCGCCCTAACCACCTGGAAGAGTAGTCGTTATGATGTAATTCATTTGCTGAAGGTAGTTATAAAAAAATTGAAGCGAAGACGTCATTTTGAATAGTGTGTTTAAATGGTATACATAAATATAGAATGGTGGTTGTGGTCATAATAAATTTTGAAATGACGAATGTTTAATTAAAGGCCTAATTAACTAATGCAATATTTTCGTCTGGGTGTAATAACGGTATAAAGAAAGAAAATTAAAGATTCAAAATTAATTGTTTTTTATTAGAATAGAAAACACAGTACTTGTCTAATAATGGAGGTTTTATGCCAATAGATAGGAACATCAACTCCCCCTAAATACACCCAACTTATTTGATTATTCTTAGGTAGATGTAAACCATTGGCCAGAAATAATATACAAGCGGAGCCAGATTAATAATTATTGGGTCATTCGGAATGATAATGTGACGGTCAATCCCACTATTCGTTGGTAAAAGAGTAGCCCAAGAGTTGGCGGTGTTTGGTGATGACTAGCTGCCTTCCCTCTAGTCTTACACTGCTAAATTAGGGACGGCTAGCGCAGATAGCCCTAGTGTAGCTTTGCACGAAATTCAAAACAAACAAACCTTCGGAATGGGAATTACACACCCATATTTACAACGGTTACGTTAAATATTTCCTCTTTTTAGGAAAATATAGCGTCATTTCCTGCCTACTAGGGATATATTACTAGCTCATAACATTGAATTATGCATGATCAAACATTTCTCTTACAAAATAAAAATTGGTAAGAAAACATGCACGTGTTACATATATTTATATTAATATTTTTAAATTACAGGCTTTATGGAGACCACTGGTGTCTTTGGTTTAGGCCTTATAGACCCGTGCGTTAATCCAGCCCTGTATACAAACTCGTACTTTAAAATAATATCCCATAATAACTTTTATGTATATTAATGTTCCCACTTGAAACCTCTAACCCAGGGAAACAAAAAATATTAATTTCGTAAAGTCAACGTGTTTCTAGGTATCAAGCAGAATAAAAACATCTTTGAGACAAGATTTCAAATTAAATTTTAATACTTTATTTAGCAACACTTCAAACAAAACACTAACCATCTTCTAACGTTGATGAAAAAATAACAACCACCAAAGCACTGTGCTACATTTATTTCAATATCTTCATTATGAAATTAGTACAATAAAACCCAAATAATCCATAAAGTGTTTTTATTCAAATATGCCTGAATGGTCCCTCTAATTATTTGGCAACATATTCTTATAACATGAAAGACACTGGCAGAACAAAACTTAATGATTTATTTAGAAAGATATCAGAAAGCACAAGTACATTAGACCTTAATCATATTTCTCCACGATCTTTAGTCAGTAGTAAAATGTATTTAGTTTAGTATAGAGCTAAATGCCTGAATTATTTTCATAGTTACTTGGTGTTTTACAGCGATGGTCTTAATTACACATCTGTTATAATTTATAAAGTCTACGTTTTAATAAATAATACATGAAAGTCCCTTTACATCTCATACAACAACATATTCAAATGCAAGCCTTCATTACGTGCAGCAAGATACAGCTTATAAATAAATGTGTTCCGCAATGGGAAAAAAAAATCCATTATATTTGCTGGTGAAGAATACAATTACTCCTGAAAAAACACTTTAAAAATAAGTACTCTCCTACTAATAACATTATCAACTACATTAATAAGTCGATAATCACTTCAAATACTTGGAGTAACTTGATGCATGTGTGAATCTTAATCTAAAGGAAACTTAAGTCAAAAAATTACTCTTAAAATATTACTTTCTATTATACTGATAGCTGTGTAAAAGGCAAATAAAATACTTGCAGAATATATAATATGAAAACTTGTACTGAAAAAACATATTTGTTAATGTAAAAATACCTGAATCAAAGTTATCACTGTTATGTACACTTATTCCTTACCCATGTTACATTCCATAATTTTTTATTCAAAGAAAGTAATTCACCTACCAAATAATGTTGATATATAGATTCATAATATATTGTATACAAGACTACAGATGATCTATTTCTAGTATGCTTACTATGAACAGTGCTAACAAAGGTGAGAGATCCAGAAGAGATATATATATATATATATATATATATAGATAGATAAGGACACTTTTAAAACCCTTGAAACTGGTATTATGTTTGCCTTCTGCAACAGCTTGGCAACCTCATTTCCGTGAAGTGTCATAGTTGGCTTGAAACCAATCTACTGTTTCTTTGACAGCTGCAACAGCACAAGGATCATAAGTTAGAAAAAAAAAAAAGAGTTACTTCAACAAATCATGATATTAATAAGTTGCAAGTTGGGAAGTAATTATTGATACAGTACACATACATAACACTATCTAGTGTGTGGGTAGTCTTTTAATAAATTGCATGTAACTACTTGAACTTACACACACAAAATAAATGAATGATTACTTGTTAATTTTAGACATGTATATATATATGTATACGTTGCTTTGTTTTTTTTTTTTCAGTTTAGAGAATGAACAGAGGACACACACACAGTCATAGTTTGGAAAGCTTCTTTCCACCATGAGTAAAAAGTAGGGTGTTAATTCTCATAAGCCTCAGTAAGAAGCAGGGTACTAATTCTTATGAGCCTCAGTAAGTAGGGTGTTAATTCTCATAAGCCTCAGTAAGAAGCAGGGTATTAATTCTTATGAGCCTCAGTAAGTAGTGTGTTAATTCTCATAAGCCTCAGTAAGAAGCAGGGTATTAATTCTTATAAACATTAGTAAGAAATAGGGTGCTAATTTTTATGATCCTCAGTATGAAGTAGGGTGTTACTTCTTATGAGCCTCAGTATGAAGTAGGGTGCCCATTCTTATGAATCTCAGCACAAAATATGGCACTAATTCATATAACTACTTTGTCCACAACAAAAGGCATCTACATGGTTGAGACTAATTTAAAGATTAAGTCTCGTTGTGAATATATGAAATTAAAATATTCAAGCTTTCATATTAAATGTTTTCTTTTCCCATTAATTGCTGGTATCCAAACCACACTACACACGAATCCATTATTGAAACTTGTAACTGTACACACAATAATAGTAGTGTGATATAGCCTCTTCAGTTTTATCTTTAAGGAAAATATTAAAAAAATACTTTTAAAAATATTTCTGACACCCGAACACACATTCAATGCCTAGTATAAAAATGACAAACATGTACTGATTTAAATAATTTTAGCAATTTACCTACTAAGAAATGACTGCCTTGACCTATAATATTTTCATTTGGATATATCTTCTACACACTTTCATTCAATGACTGTCAGCATTACTTCAGTCTAGATATTTTTTTATATTTTCAGTTATATGCAGACTAATTCTAAAATAAAAACAAAGACACATTTATACGAAGCTATCAGTGAAATTAATGGAGCTTTATTCTGCCTTTGTATTCCACACGTTGTTGTTGAATTTTGTCATAAATATTTTATTGAAAATATGACATATGTAGTAATTACTTTTTTTTTGAGAATCTTAGTTATTTACATAAATTGCAAATTACCACAAAATTAAGTTTATTTTTTTTCCACCATGTCAACTTCTTATTTGCTTATATTGACTTGCATTAATATTTATAGAAGAAATACAAGATCTGGATTTTTTTTTTTTCATAATTTGGATTGATCCCAGGGAACGGCAAAAATGATCTCTTTAATCATTTTACTCAGAAAGGTTCATCAATAAAATCTCCATGATTACCTACTATAGACATAATTCACCTATATTTCTGTTTTGTTTTTTAAATATTTCATTTAATTTTAAAGTTGTCTAAGAATGTTCATATTTACAACTAGACAGGCACTTCACAATAATTAATAACAGAAAGATATAGCTACCTTGTTTCATATTGGTGAATTTGAAGTTAGGAAGGTATTTTCTCAGTTTAGAGTTACTAGCAGTTTTTTTCATCTGTCCATCTGACCTACTGGTATCAAACTGTTGACAGAGTTAAGGTTCAAACAGTAAATAAAAATACTACAACAATATCATAAACACATTATTTAATTTATGTAGTGCATATTGGTGTCAAGAAGACATTAATACTAGATATCAGTGACCATAAAGATGATAAGTTCTTCCATATTGATTAGCTGTAGTTATAAAGCTTTGTACTGTCAGTTACAGTTTGTGTTTTAGTGGAACACTACTCAAGAAGTTGTAAACCAAAACTTTGAGTGTCCAATCAAAGAAAAACAACAATTTGGTGTTATAAGGTCATTTACTTCTAGTATTAAAACAACATCATAAAGTATCGCTTCTACTCATAATTATGTTAAAATAAATGTCACTTTCATAACAAAAGATACAATCACTTCTCCTTTAAACTCAAAAGCCTCTGTCACCATTTCAGCTGCTTCTTTAATCGAAACTTCATCTTTTTCATCCACTATAAAAAGTTGAAAATCTTCATTATAAAAATGATATAAATACTTATCCCAAATGTACTTCTTTCTAAGAAGCTTGAGCTAACCAAACCATATTAAAGTCTCCAAAAACAAATGTAACAAACCATTTCAGATATTACACCCAGTATTCATTAAATTTGATACATCAACTTATAAATGAAGTCTGTTTAAAATAAAAGACTTAAAAAAAATCTAATGAAGACAATAAAAACAAAACAGCTATAATTTCATAAACTAAAACAGAAATTATTTCATAAGCTACAAATGATGCACTAACAGAAGCTGTCCAGTATTGCAGTTATTATCAATTAGGTCATCACATCACAACTGTGTAATCTTCAGCAAAGTTACATCTCTAGCAAAATAATTTTTCTTGTGATATTGTAGCCATAAATTCTTTTTTTATTAAATACCCTAGAATAAACCTTTTGAGTTTGCCTTTTTTGCAAAGAGCTTTTAGTTTCTTGTTTTCGTAATATGTGCTTAGCCTTTTTTGTTATGTTTTGGTTCGAAAGATTGAATGTATGAATTATTATCAATAATGTGTGTGTGTGTATAAATACACAAACTGTTTATTTTCTATAGTATGCAAATTATTTTGATATAACGAGTTTATAGCTCAGCAACATTTCAAAGTTTAACTTTTTTTTTTTAAAAATCTTTAATTTAATTCTCTTCCTAAGAATTAAACTATTAAACAGAATGTTAGTCTATTAAATTATCTATATTTTACCATCACTTAGAGTTGGTTGCATTACAGTTGAGCTGTTTTGAGTATTAGTGATGAACAGGCTATCAATGTTAAAATTAGTGATGAATCAAATTAATACAAAATAAATAATATTTCAGTTGTATTAAAAAAAAAAAGGATTAACCAAAAAATGCAGTATAACAACCTAGTGGAACAACTTGTCAACAGCCATCAAAACTGTTCCAGTTATTGTTGATTAGAGTTAAAAAAAACAAAAAAAAAACGTTTCCCAAATTTATAATCTTTAAACATTAGGTTTCTATTCCACATTTGAGTACTTGCTTAAATACTTTCCGAAATTATCAGTCACACAAGAACACCAAGAAATGCCAATATGAAATTTCCAGTGAAACATATTTGATTACAACCCCCAAGCCTGTTCTAACTTAACTGCACTTTAATTCATGAGAAATCTATCAAATGCATCAGACAAAATTGGCATAAATGTTTGGCTGATATACTATATTTTCCATGTTCAATTTGATTTTAATATTTTCAGTATTCTCTAACGTAAAAAGGAAAATATATGTCAGTATTTTAAACATTTTTTACAAAAAGTTCAACTGTATATAATACAAAAAAAAAAATGTACTAGTTTCTTGCTTCAACATACATATTGTTTCTCAGGAATTTGTAGTATGTATAGTTGTGGCATGCTGAATGCAGTGTTTCAACTTAAATTCAAGTGAACAAATTGTGAAAATAAGAAACAACACTTCAGGTTAACAGAAAGTTTGGTGAGTGAAAGTAAGGAATAAAAATACCATTCTTCTAGTAACACTTGAACTTAATGGAGATTAAGTTAGCATTTTATTGACAGCAGTCTGATAATAAGATAGGTTACAACATATTTGTAAATTTTAAATAGATAATATTTACATTATGCAGCTTACCCCAGCAATGTCTGAAAGATAAAACTACCAGTAGCTATACCTTCACAAAGAGCTCAAGATTGTCACTGTAAGCTAGTTTTTGGCTTCTACAATAAAAACTTATTTAATGGCTTATACTCTATATAAGTGTATGTTATTCATGAAATTCTCCATTTATTTCAAAAGCATAATCGAGTTCAAGTTTCATATAAAACAATGTAAAAATATATATATTACACTACAGAAAAGCATTGAATGCTCTAGTCTTCAATTATGATAAAAGAAAAACTTTATAGCAACAAAAGCAGAACAACCACAATGTACTTACCAGACAGAATAATTGGTTCAATTTCATCGTATTCTCTTAACACCCACAGCATCAACCTAGCAAGATCTAACGAGTAGATAAACTGTCGAAGAGGCTTTCCCGAACCCCAGATTTCTAGAGGAGTTCCATTTTCTATGAATAAAACAATTAAAGTAATTTTCAGATTAGAGTTCGTGTTTATTACCACTTGTTTACATAAAACTATGTTCTTCAGATGATTAAGTCTTCAACAACAAAACACAATCTCCAATAACACATGAAGCTAAAAACCCCAATCATTGTTCAATCTCCTTTCTCCAACCACAGTAGTTGATATTTTATTCTGCTTTTGAAACTTTTTTCCCTACTTGCATGTTTCAGGCTGTAGCTCTCTTTCTCAACAATGCCTATCCTACACAAACCTATGATAGCTTCATTACACTGACCAGAACTGATTACACCATGGATGAGAAAATAAAAAAAAAAGGTTTCTCCAAATGAGTTATATTATGTTGAAGTTTCCAAAAATGGATCACTTTTATCAAAACCTTTAATGAAATGAAAGTTTTTAAATGTAGCAGACTTTACAAAATGTTGCTAATAATGGTTGGAGACGGCTTGAATGGGTAATGAAGAAAACTTTAATATAAGTTTAACATAACAGCAAATGTACAAGTTTCGACAAGGTTTTGTCATCATCAGGTACAACAAAAAGGAGATTGATCAACACATTATAACACCCCCATGACTAAAAGGATGAGCATGTTCGGTGACAGAATTCAAACTCACATACTATCAGATTGTGAGTCAAACACCCCATGCCAGTCCTGTATTGCAATCAGATCTGCATACCTTTATGGGCCTCAAATAAATAGATTTTCTTGAAAACTTTAAAGGCACATTAAAATATACACTGAATGCAATAAATCAAGAGCCATCAAAAACAATGGGTGTCCTTTCTCCAAGTTTGTTCTATTTGTATATTCCTCATTTTCTCCAGAGATTCACAGGCTTTCCAAAATACAAGCTGATGCATGAATAACAAGTACTAAAACCACAACACATTGTTCATCCACACAGGACAAAATATGTAGGTGAACCTACAGGCAGTAGTGTTTGGTATATGCTACTAACGAAAACAAGTCGAATAATTTAAAATGTTAACTTGAAAGTAGGGGGGTTAAGACTCATAAATAAAGTACCAGATCTATTCTTTCCTTAGAATTCTTAAATAATAACAATGATTAATTCCAAACAATTTGACTTTAACAGTCTTCTTAACGAATAAAATTTGGTAAAATTGACCAAAAGCCATCCTTTTCTGAGATGAAAGTGATGATCAAAGATCTGAAGAAAACTAGTGCTATTCTTCCTTTCTTCAAGTATTTGTCCGTAATTGTAACGCAACAGTTCGGAATGATTTCTTTGTTCATACGTGAGGGACTAAGTCGTAGTTAAAAATATTAAAAAACAAAACAAAAATAAAATCCTCAGAGGTTAATTATTCCTTTGGTCATGAGTGTGGGATTAAGTCATGTGGTTAACAATTTTTAAACAGCAGAAATAAAATCAGAGAATAAGTTGTGGCAACCACAGAAATAGGATATTTTTCTAATAAAAGTGTGTTAGACAAGTTGTGACTACGGTTGCCAAGTCTAAATTTTACGACCATGTCTACAGTTGGTATGATTACAACAGGTAAAGAGAGTAAATCCAAGACATCTAACCAATAATTTTATGCTCCAGGGGTTCAAAGTTATCACTTAGAATTTGAAAGAGTGCTTTACCCAGATTAACTTAAGTGACTATGAGTAATAGTATGACCCAAGCCAGTAAGTAATTTAATTAAGGTTTAATTTAACCCTTTCATTGCACAATTAATTTTCAGGCTGATTCCCAAAAAGTGTCAGTTGTCCACATAGAAATGCCTTATATTGGAAAATTTCAAAGCCTCTATGATGTTAGAGGATATATAATTACTGAACGTCACTGATAAGTATAACAAACGTAACACTAAGTAACTCACCTCTAACGTAATAAAATCAGCTAAAAACACAGAGTTAAAGCACACATCACCCCATGGTCGGTCAGCTGAGGCATATAAACATCTAGGTTTTATGGCATAAAATACAGATGACAGCACGCACACAGGTGTGACAACTGTTTCAAGTACAGGGGGATACTCCCACATGTCTCAGTAGAGGGAATTTTTTTTTGTGGTAGCCGTGGGGTAAATCAGAGTTCTGCAGTCATTGGGTATAAATGTTTATTCAGATGTATCCGAACTATGCAGCAAAAGGGTTAAAGTAGCTGAAGCTTACGATCTTATGTGATATTTAGTAAAATATATTTATATAGTTATTATTTTAAAACTAAATATCATATTTTAAAGGCTCATGGCTATCTGAGAGTAACCATAGTTGGAACAGAATCCAATTCTATGTGAGGAAGTAAAACTAAAACTCTGAAAAACCTGGATATACAAAAAGTAGTGAGTATTACAGACAATGGAAGGTTTCTAGTTGACTATATATGTAGAAGATAATCAATAATGTCAGATTCTGTGAAAAACTTGAACTTTAAGCTGAATCTGAAAAACAGATGCTATCATTAGCTTTAAATTAAAAGTTTTAAAGTCTTTTTTCTTTTATCAGCCTAATTTATATATCAATGAAGAAGTCTTGTGAATTCCTAACCTACCAGCTGTGGTTGGATGTTGGTCGAATATTGGAGAGAAGGAAATGTAAAGAAGGGGTGAATTTTTGACTCCAGTTATCCTAATATTCTCTTTAGGAGTCGAACAGATCTTCCATTGGATGTTGAGAAAACAAATGATGTTATTGGTTGAATATTGGAGAGAAGGAAATGTAAAGAAGGGGTGAATTCTTGACTCCAGTTATCCTAATATTCTCTTTAGGAGTCAAACAGATCTTCCACTGGATGTTGAGAAAACAAATAATGTTGCTCGTAATGACATCGGTTTGAAACTATGTTACTGTTTCTGTTTGTGCATTTGTTCATGCAATATGGTAAAAAATGATGACAAACTCTGCTAAATTAACTGAATACCTGTTTCATCTGAAATACCACACTGGATGTTAGAGGGGAAAATGTTATATCCAGAAAATTTCTTTATATAAAAAAGATAAAGAGAGGTGAAGAAATGTTATGCAGTCTATAGAGAGTAACAATGGATTATGTTTTCTGCCTCATTTTTGGATTTATTTATTTTTTTACCTTTTAATAAATAACAAAGTTAAATTTATTTAAAAGTCCTGATAAAAAGATCTTCCATGAGGAAAAGGATTTTATTGAAATTTTAGTTTAAAAATGAACTATCATCACAGCATTACATCACAGAGTAGATTTTATTGAAGTATTACTTTGTAGACACAGTTATCAATGAAAGTGCCTTGCTTTTCTGTTGCAACACTCATAAGGTTTTCACTAACAAAAAACAAATAATTTTTTTAAGTTTGTTTTTGATTGTTTAATATTTGAAACTTACTCCTTTTTTGTAATTTTTATTGGTTAAATCTAAGATATATCATTTTTATGGAAATTTCAATTGTTATGTTTGTTGCTCAGCTATAAAAATACTGCCTAGTTATAAACATATTACTCAGTTACGATAGGTGATAATCATTGCAGTTGTTTCCGAGAACTTAGTTTTGGACTATGGATCGCAAGCTCCATTATAATAAGATTCAAGCACGTCAACACTACCTTCTATTTTGCCTACATTAAAGGGTGGTGAACACAGGTGCTCCCAAACGTTCACATGCACATTTTATTTTAGTCTTAATATTATTCACAGGACTTGACAAAAACTCCACGATGTAAATGATTCTTCTCCATTTTTACTTTTATAAACTGTGTACTTAAACAAAAATTTAAGAGGTTTATACTAATGGAATCAGAGATAAAACAGCTAAAATGTAGTGACTATGAAGCAAAGAGAACAAATGAATATTTTTCTAAATAAACCATACACATAAGATGCACACTAACACACTGATGATCAAAGAGTAGCTTATATATAAAAATCACTTGAATGTTTCAATCACTGCTTACTACTATTTTGCTTATTTGTTAATTCTATTCATCTAAACATGTCATTGACAGAAATTCTCAAACTGTCTAAATGTAATCAATAAAAGCCTCACAAAAATCTCTTTATAAATAACACAACATGAAATACAATTTATTTTTTCACAATTATCAATTTTGATGCAAACTAATTTCTTTTCTTTTTTTGCACAATTTGTTTTGTGTGTAATATTCTTGTTCGAAAGGCAAGTACAAAGACATGTAATAAGAAACAGATTCATTAAATGTTTTGCAAAAGAAAAAACAAAAAACTCAAATACCTTTGTAAAACAAAGAGTGAAAAACAAACTGAAACACTAACAACAAAATACATTGGGATCTCTCTATTACTGGTCAACTACTTCACTGGTTGCTGAAGATGAGAGAGCACAACATGTCTTCATTAGACAAGATATTACTGAAGACGAAAGACAGAAATATAGTATCTATACTAAACTATTATGTTAGACAAAGTTGTAGTATGGTTTTCCAGAATCTTATATTACCTAAGTCAATAAATATTTCTAATATATACTTGAAGATAGAACAAGTACTATATTGAAGCATGTATTATGTTCTTCACATAAAATAATTTTTCATTCTGTTTACAAATCACTGTTGATCAATTTACTACATTTCCATTATACATATTCAAGGAAAGATTAACTACTAGCTCATACCATCTTGTACAAATCTCTGTATTACCTCTCTATTTGGATATGATCAACACCCTAGAAGATCAATGACACAAATATAAACTCTGTGAAACACACACCGTGGTATGTAACCCTAGCCCAAAGAAAGGATTAATGCAAATTGACAACTATTCACATTCTGTTCATAAGAATGTTAGCTAAATGCAGAACACATGCATGAAAATTTTTAAAAAGTTTATCTGAACATACACAACTAAAAGAATATTATTTTTTAAATTATGAAAGGGTGAAATATATCATTTTTTGAGCTGCTGTAATTGTTAAAAAAACAAAACACATGAGAATAATACAAACTTTTAGCAACGTAAGTCTTGTGGATAAGCCCGGGCAAAACATGACCATCTTCCAAGTTGAAGTTGTCATGTGGGCCAAAAACATTTGTTGGAATGACACACGTGAACTTGCAACCATGTTGACTATTGTAGGCATGATTCTGCACATCAATGAGCCGTTTAGCATATGAATAACCAAAGTTTGATGAATGAGGTGGCCCATTATGGATCTAATTAAACAAAGTAAAGGAAAAGGGATGTTAAAAATGACTTCTTCACAAATATTTATAATTGCTAAATATAAGCATTCAAATACTTCACAAATAATTTTTAAATCTTAATGCACACAGAAGTAACATTTTTATCAGAAAGTTAATACCCGCTGTGCTCTTTCATATTACATTAAATCTGTCATTGTTATAAAATGTAATTAAACCAAATAACAACATACAGAATATTTCTTAAAATGACACTTTTTTATTGTTAAAAAAAGAAAATGTTAATGATGTTTCATATGGAGACAAATATACACACACACTATTTGTATACGCTACCACATTTCTACTTGTATTTTGTGAGTCAACATTACCATGTCAAGAACAGACACCACAAAAAGCAGCCTGTAAATAAAACTAAGATTCTTTTGATAGCAAAAATAGCAGATTAATAACTACAAAATATGATACATTAATAAATAAATACGTTTATCATGACTTAATAAGTAAACATTTAACTTTCTGTTGATTTACGATTGATGGCAAGTTGGCTTTGAAACCATTAAGCATCAGTTTATGTGCTATAAACGGCCACGAGTTTGAAATGAGACTGATTCAACACAGACCAACAGATAATAATGAAACCAATTTTAGATGGAAATGAAATTTAATGCAAATGTACTAAATTTAGAGGTCCTTTTATACATTGTAGCCAGAAAAGATACTGACAATGATATTTTTTTAAGATCCAGATTAATTTAGATTTAACAAGGAAATATATATATATACCTTTACTCCAAATTTTGTAATAGAGGAAAAGTTTTGTGTCCAGTACACACACAGAAAAATTTCATACACATTCTAAACGAGTATTTTGAAGGGGAAGGTGTCATAAATGCATATACATTAACAAAAACTCTACATTTAAAATCAAGTAAGTGATTCTTACTAAAGTAAGTAAGAAAAAACATTATAAGAAAATTTGCTTAAACTTATGCTTTTTCTTTCAAATTTAGATCATTTAGATTCTGTAACTTCAAGACGAATTAATAAAGGTATTCTGACACAGTATTTCAAGGCTTGACAGATTAGTGAAACACACAATACTTACACTCTTTTGAAGCTGATGCGAATAATTTCCAATGATAACTACTTGTATCGCTGATGAATAAATCTCTAACAAATACACCTACTTCACAAAACAATAAACCACAAATTTGACCAATAAAGAGCATTCTATGAAGTACATAATTTTTTATTACATAAGTTTTTATTCATTGAACCTTTATATTAAAAGTACCAATTATTGGGCTGACATATAAAATCATTGGTAAAGATTTAGTTGTTCTATTCTCTATTGGTGTTTCACTATATGTGTTTACTATGTAATTTAAAGTAAGAATTCAATAAACTTAATTAAAATGTACACAACTTAGCAGCTCCCAAATTAATATCTATGTACTTTTTGCTCTCTCACCTTTTTATTTTCAACTTTTATGCCTCCAATTTTGAATAAATATTTTAAAAAAATGTATGTACTCTCATTTTGCATTGAATACATAAGTAAATATCATATCAATATAACAATGAATGGCCACAAAAACTTAAAATATATTTGTTTTTGTAAGTAATTTGTAAATTTGCAAAAAATTAGTAACTTTTTGGTATTTATTGATTTTATTTATAAAATAGGTTTCAGATTAAACATTAATATGACCCGCATTTAATGTGAGTTATTGACAGTGCAATACCCAAATGTCAAAACACTGATAATTTAAGATATTCTACATCAGTGGTTCCAAAACATAGGGTCACGGTAGACTCTGGTACAGTCACGAGTTTGCCAAAAAACAACAACATATGTAACAAATAAAAGCTGAATGGGTCTGCTGAAATACATTTTCGAGCAGATGGGACCACAAATTCAGAATGTCTGAGAAGGGGTTGACACTAAAAAAAGTTTTGAGGAAATACTACATATTCAGCCATAATTTGATGTTACTTACTTCACTTTTATATTTACAGCTAAAATAGTTTGTAAAGAGAAATATATTTAGTTTGGATAAAGATAATTTTTAAGAATAGATTATAATTCATGAATGATTTTTGATATTTTTATTGGTAAAATGTGTTTCTCAAATATCTACAAATTTGTACTGCTAAAATGAAAGTTAAAAACCTGAAAGATGGGAACCAAACTCACTAAAGTTTCAAACTGGCACTCAATTTAATTGAAATATTGTAAAGTTAACTGACTATTGGATGTCAGTCCTGATAACATATGTAAATACCAATATTACTTGTTGTGAAAATACAATACAATTACGTTTCAATTACTATTCTTCAAGTCAACCCTTCACACAAAAAATGGCTATTTGGTTAGTAGTGCATTATATGATTATGAGATAAGGGACACTATATGTTTCTAAATAATCAAAAAAAATCTCAACATAATGATGATACAGCCTACCATTGTCTCATCAATTGGGTAAGATGTTTTGTCTGGAAAGATGCAAGTTGAGAGACAAGACACAACTTTCTTTACTCCACTTTCATAACTTGTATGTAGAACATTATCATTCATCAGAATGTTATTTCTCTAAATAAATAAAACTGTATTATTTTTGTGCTTTTATTAAAGAAATTTTCTCAGTTTTGAAATCTCTACACCATTAAGTACAGACTATACACCAATATTTGACAGGAGATTCTCTGTTAAAATATAGATGAACAAAAAAATAATTTTCAAGCTTTACACAATTAATGATGCAAATTCTTGTACAAACTTAAATTTTAAGTTGCAAAAAAATTATTTAGTGCTTTCATAAGAAGCTAGAAATACAATGATGCTCCTAAAAAAAATCTTAAGCTACAAATTATTGTAAAATAAAGTAAATAAAATTATAGTATATACCAAATGTTGGTAACAAACTGCTACAGAGAAAAATTAATATGATGAATTACTCACCAAAAAATCCAAGTTGTATCTCAGGTTGCGAAATAATCCTCCAACCATGGCCGCAAGATGAATCACATGAGTTGGTTTATGTTTAGCAAAAATGGCACGAGTTTCCTCCCTGTCTCTGAATGTGAAACAAATTATGTCTATGATCCACTGAAAAGTATACTGATATATATATTTAAATATTACACAACACATTATAAACCTTTTTCTACTTCTACATATAACCGAAAATCATATATATCTATATATTACTAAAACTCTGAGATTGTTTGTCTGCTTGTCTGTAATTAAATACAACAAAAACGGTGCACAATAGTGCTATATTTGTAATGAAATGAGAAAAGAAACAGAATGAAACAAGTTTCATTAAAATCGGGACACGGGTTACTGAGTTAGCACCATTTTTTGGGTCACTTTTTTGAAAATTTCTAGCATGAATAATTTTACCTCATACTACCATTCATGCTCTTTATGAAACTTTTTACATCTGGGTGGCCAGCCCGGATGGCAACCACATAGGGCGAGCGTAATCAGGAACAGGGATTTGAACACATGGTCCTCAGATTGCAAGTCGAGTATCCTAAAAATCAGGCCATGCCATCTAAGCATACTTAAATGTTTTGTTGGGAAGATCCTTATAACACTTAATTTTGATTGATTATTCTAGTGAATCGAGAGGTGACAGGGATGAGCAGAATGGTGTTCTGTATGTCACCTCAGTTGCTTTCTAGGACTTCTGCTTTCAGGGATAAGACACCCCATTAAATGCTCTGTATTTTATTTTATGGTGCCTTAAACAAAGGTACCATATATGAGGTTCCTTAGCAAGTTTTAAATTCTAATGAAATTAATAGAAATTTTATGAAAAGAAGAAAAACCTTGTCTGGTAGCAGAAAACATAGGTTGTTAATACATGGACATTATCAAGTTGGCATGAACTGGGCATTATTACTGGAAAAACCTTGAGGAAATTACAGTAAATGAACATTATCAAATTGGCATGAACTGGGCATTATTACTGGAAAACCTTGAGGTAATTACAGGTAGGAGAAGAGTTTGAAAATTTTGTATCAGATTTCAACATGATTTACAAAGTTTGGTTTTTATTTCTGGTTCTTTTTCTTAACTTCTTGTATCAAAGTTCAGTTGTGTCCAGGCTTAGCATTTTCAAACTGCAAATATATTCTTGTTCAACTTGTAATAAAGACAGTTTTTATCAGAATTCTGATGTTAAAATTTCATTGTTCTTAGTGTAAAGAATTTGTTACACAATGTATTTGTGTAAAAATATTTAAATCTAAGATATATTAGTGTTTCATATAACCAGAAAAACCTATAGATATTAAAAATAACAATTAATAACCAACATAGCATTTAAAAAAACAGTCTTTTACACCTTTATCTTTAACACAAGTTATTTTATGTAACAAAGTTTATTGTGCAGGAAACAAAAAACTATATATGTATATGTTTGGTGCTGTTTAAAAATACTAGTTAGCTGATAGCATTAGATTTAGGCAAATAATTTAGTGAATCAATACAATCCATTACTTACAAGCATAGATTACACTGAATAATATTATGTAAAATAATTAATTAATTGACATTTGTGTTTTCAATTATTACTATTTTCCATTATTTCAACTATTCAATTAATCAAAATGTTTCCAATATTATTTTCAATAAATTCAAGGTTGTCCAGCTAAATCAATTTGCATCACAGCTTATGAAAATAGTCAACTAATCAAAAATGGTGTTTCTGATTATTACTATTTATTATTCCAACTATCCAAGTCTCATGTGAGAACAATCAATTAATGAACCCAATGATTAACTGATTAACAAAATCCACTAAAATCACCCAGTTCTAAAGAGCATAAATATCAGGATATAAGGTTTCAGCCATTCCAGGTCATGCAAACAAGCCCACTCATGTTTGTCAAATGAAATCAGTGAGAAACTAATTTCCTCATCAAATTCTTGTTTGTTAAAAAATGCCAGAAGCTGTCAACCATAGTTGGTCAGTCATACAGTACCCACATTCACATATCAAATGTATTACATGCATGCTATGTTTAAATTGTATTCCATACAAAGTAAAATATACTACAGTAACAAACAAATAAGGAACTAATAATAACTTATATCAAAATAAATATCTTAAGATACTTTAGGGAAATAGTTAAATCATATCTACAGTAAAAGAATATTTATGTATAAATAAAATCTGGCTAGTTACATGCAAAGTGAAATTTGATTTTAATATAGTTTATGGTTTAAAATACGAGAAACCTTGGAAAACAAAATTTCACTAACTTAACCAAGAAGTCTCCGAATATTAATGTAAAGAAATTTGGAGAAACTAATTAAAATTTTTTCAAAGAAAAATTTTTCTAAATTCACTTGCAAGACTAACCATATGTTACTGTAACAACTGCTTGGAACATGTCTGAATCATATGAAAAGGTTAAGCAGGTAGGTAAGAAAATATTACAAATCCCTTTGCCCTTCAGATTTAAAAAATAATCTATGCTCTAAAAGCCCAATCAGGTACTGTTTTGGTTGCTGAAAATCTAAATTATGCACATTTTGTGTCTAGCAGTTACATAAATTTTATTTTCATACAACTTCCTTTTTATATTGCCTCATTTACTTATAGAAGAATAGAAGCTAACATCTGTTGATGTTGGTGAATTATCTGCAAAAAATAATCTGTCACAAACACTACTTGAAATTGGGTAAACAAAAATAAAATTACTGGTTACAACTGTGCTACAGTACAAAATATCTGGAACGCTCATTGAAATGTTGTTTACTTATACATGTAGGCAAAAGGATATCTTTTATTCTTTCTCTTAACTAAAACAATGAATAAAAATACTAAAAAATAAACGTGAAATTTAATATATGATTTGATTTAACACTTTCAATAAATTTCACCTCTCATCAGTAAATCTGGACGATACATATAATATACAGTTCACCACAATATGAAGCCTAGTCTTATTGTTTCGACTTACCCTTGTCTAAGGTTACTAGAAATAGGTGGAATTCGTCAAAACTGGTATATCTAAATGATAAGTGGTAAGTCGAATGATAGATTGGGTTTCACATGTAGTTTTTTATCATTTTAAACAGCACATCTGGCTGAATAATTCACAAGAAAAAATTATTAGCATCAGTGATGAATATTCTTCTAATTCCTATATAAGTATAAGCTTACAGTGTGAATAAAAGACATTTCAAAACACCAACGAACAAAAATGTCAAACTTATAGTAAAGTTGTTTGGGGCTATGAGTTTTTGATTAACAGGTTTCTATAACATATACTGTTATGAAAAATGATCTCGTAATTATACTCACAACAGGTTTGCATCCTTTGAAGATAAGAATACCCAACTCTCGTCAGGTGTTTTCTCTTCTTCAACCACCTTCTGCAGGCCCATTCCTACAAGACCTGTTCCCCCAGTTACTAATATGACTTTCTTTTCTGCCATCACTCAGAATGAAATAAACTAAAATTAAAATAGTAAATCAAAATGTAAATATTGATATATCCATTTATCATCTCTATACTATCTGTTAGCCTCCCAACACAATATATATCATTATATGTATACATGTTCAACCCTAAGACTTATTATATATGGAATAATAAATTGTCCTGAAATTCAGTAAAATTGTCCACTAGGAATTCTATAAATATGTAGATTTGTGGTTCTTTTACTAACCCTGAAGATTACATCTTCACTTGTATCTATCTAATCTTGGTAGTAATTAACCAGGGGCACTCAGAAACAGTTGTTTCTCTTCAGCTCCACACACAAAATTAAGGTTTTTAACTCTGGTGGGAGGTGTAATACCCTTCATGGCTGGTATGATACATACTGATAGTTAAGCTAATGACTGTTCTTATGTCATGTAAGTTACCAGGAATTAAAGGCTTATGCCTATCTTAGGTAGGTAGAACCCTATCTAGTTAAAAGGCTAATGAAGCATCCAGAAAAAACTGTGAATTTGGAATTATTCAAGTAATCTGCTAAGTCTTTTTTAAAGTAACACAATTTGCTCTTTTTGATTTACTTTCTTATTTATTACACTCTGTAAACAGTTTAATGTAACTTAGTAATGTACAACCTATCCAGAATTTAAGTCTTTAAAGAATTGTTAGTAAACTCTCATCTACACTTGCACTATAAGTACACAGATAAGTTGGAAACGATGAGTTTTGGATATGTATTTGGTTTACTTATAAAAAGTAAAACACCTACACTGATAATAATAAAAAAAAAGATCTTACCTACTTTATAATAATATAGTCTTCCGAGTACAGAGTATACAGGGATAACACAAAACAAGTTTGGATATATATATATATGTACAGGTGGTGAAAGAACCATAAAACCAACAGTTTTGCCAGTTTGTACAGGTGTATTAAAGCATATGTAAAGTACATTACAAGATAACAACAACTAGCTCACTGATGTCACTCTTCCACCCACTCAAATCATCAAAACCAACAGTTTTACCAGTTCGTACAGGTGTATTAAAGCATATGTAAAATACATTACAAGATAACAACAACTAGCTCACTGATGTCACTCTTCCACCCACTCAAATCATCAAAATCAAATTTAATTGTGAGAAACTAACTCAGCATTATTTTTTTCTTTCAAATGTGTGAATCTATTGGCAAATGATTATCAATACATATCATTCATCATTACTATAATACATAAATCACATAATACATTGAATACATGTTATTAATTGCTTACTACTTACCTTATGAGCAATATTCTCTTATAAAGCCTATGCTTTATGATGTCATAACTCAACAGTTATGTGAATGAATGACATTGAGCTTAGCCTTGTACAATGTACATTGTGTTTATTGTCCATTTCTTCTCTTCAAAAGATATGTAAAGTATTAATACATCCCTCTGTGTTGAGCTATTACGTATAAATAGTTAAGTGAGGACATATAAAGAAAAGAATATTGGCAGCTGTATGCATAACACTGAACAAGCAATATCATGTAACTTAAAAGGGGCTATTATTATCAGTTGTAATAGATTGGTCACAGTAACTTGTAGCATTATAAATCACTGTTTTTGCTGCTAAGCATGTAAATGTAATTTGTCCATTCTGAGTGAATTGTGTCTTGTGTTATGTATAAATTAATAGTTCCCAGAAATCCAGTCTATCATGTTGAGTTAGTTGAAGCTAACACTGATGTTCTATTGCCACATGCCATTGGGAATCATCATTAAAGTAGCCCTTCTCATCCGTATATTTTTCCAAGAAATGCTTATAAAACGTAAAATAACAGCATATAACACATCATCATGAAAACCAACACACGTATAACATGTGTCTTTTAGGATTAACTTGAATGACTAAGCTGTGATGTCAATTTAACATAACTTTTCTTCAGAGGAAATCACAATGCAAACTGACCACACTATGGATGAAATCATTACATCTGAGAACCAATCTGCATCTGATCATTTAGGCTTACAAAACTGGTAGAAAATATCTTTGCTATCTAAGTCCTAGCTTTAAACCTTATTTGATCAAAAAGTAAGAAGAATGCCTGCAGACAAATGTTATTGTTAGTGTAAAAACTACATCTAGTAACGTTTAACTACACTTAAAAGACAATGGTCATACTCAATGTTCCATCTAATTTTTTCAATCCATGTGCGGAATGAATTTTTTCATGTGCACCAGTATAAAGGCAATGTGCAGATGTGCACTACCAGCTTTTTTGTGATCGGGAGAGGAGTTAATATTTTCAGACTGTCAACCCTTTTGAATCATTAGGCCACTTTGCAATGCTACCAGTTGGTTATTTGGGTTTTAGGCCTATTGACTGCTGGGGTCATTAAGGCCATCAATGTGTTGAGACTCCTCACCATTACTGAGAATGTGCATGGCTGGAATAATTAAGTGCACAGCATTTGATTGGTTGTTGTACAATCACGCAGCTTAGAGGGAACACTGACTGTACTATTTACATTAGGAATATGCCTACCATTTTTAAAACCAACACTTCACACTCAGTACTGACAAAGAATACTTGTCTTATTCAAGTAATAGTGATTATTGGAGCAGAATGTGGAAGTTGAGTTTTAATATTGAGAAGAGTAAAGTTATGTACTTGGGATACGAAAATTATATGAGAGGCTTTGGTATGTTGTGAATGCATGTGTTTGCAGGGGTAGGGGTTTATGTGACTAAATGGGGTGAGAATATAACACACACACCCATATATATACAGGACTGGCATTGTGGAGAGAGTTACCCATCCAATTTAGATCATATGCCTCCCATTTATTTCACATTCCAAATTGATATAAAAAATCTATGACAAATACAAATCAAAAACTAAACATACAATTAAAGCTAAGCATAATAATAAGGCCATGGTCACTGCATGATTGTATTCAGTTTACATAGCTTAGACATAGTTTAAAATGAATAATAATGCTTTAATATGTTATAATAATTTGCTGTTATATGGCTAATTATTTAGTGTAGTATCTTGTAATAATAGTGAATATGAGTTGACTGGTTTAGTCTACCTTTTCCAAAATCTATCCCCTCCTCCCAAATAAGTGGGAGCTCCTATAACACATGTTTCTATACACAAACATGAATTTTATTCCAAGAACAAGAATCTTTTGTATACAGAACAATTAGAAAGCATCACTTGAAGTTGAAGTAGTATGTGTAGCATTGATAAAATGTGCTGATATGGAATACTGCATTAGAACAAGAATGATACTTAGTTTAAATCATCAAGCTACAAGAAAATGTTTTTAAAGTTTTGGATTTGGAGAAAAATTTTGAATCCTATGAACATGTTCATGTTCTGCTAACCTAAAATATGTTCATCTTATATAAGGTTGACCACAGTAATACCAAATAATAGCACTTGCATGTATAACTGAGTGAGATACTGATTTTATACATAATTGGTCCTACTATTAACCCTAACATTTTGGTGTCAATGTGAAAGCATGTTACACATCTTGGCCATTTGTGAAACATGTGTACCTATTGAATGTTGATAATTGTTTCGAATTTCCACATTTGTGTCTAAACACTAAACTAATTTATCTTTCAGATTCTTGTCGCTGCAACGTGAAATCAAAGGTTTATCTTGAAATACGACAATTGTGGTACTGTCTTGTTGAAGTATATATAAACACTTAATTACATTTTATACCTAGGTATTTCATATATGATATGTTAAAATCAAAGAAACTTAATTTACCATATCAGTTTTCATCTGATGATTAAATGAAGATGGATAATGATGATGATAGTGTGACTTTGCTGTTTTGTTTTTTTTATATAATTTTTCTAATCATACCTTAAACAGCTTGTGTTAATCTTGTTAAGTAATAAGTTACCATACTAACCTAAATTTTCATATTCATCTCTTAGATTTTCATTTACTTACTCTTCCGTCACACATCTACTTCTAGATTACAAAAGTTCAAAGACAGTACTCTCTTTTACACCAATCATTGTCTTTAGCATATTTTGAGCTTTGATCAACTGTCACTTCTTCTCACATTGAAATACAAATGAGTTCTAAACTTCATGCAATCATTTTGCTTTGCTCATCTGTTGGTATATTTGTATATGGTGCATGCATTAAGACTATAATTTTATGCATATGTAAAAATAGTAATATTTGTTTTTAAAAACAATTGTGCAAAATATCAATTAACTCATACATGATTTTATTTAAGCTCATACATTGTTGCTTCCCTGTTTAAAATTTTTTATAACTTTTCCTTAAAAATATTTTATTATACCAAGCAATTTTAGGCTTAAGTTGTTTGTTATTTTTTCAAGCATTATAGTAAATTTGTAATCTGCTGATAATTTAAGATTTTGTTACTGGCTAGTATGTGTCATATTTAAACAAATAGTTTATTACATATTCTAAACTTTTAAAACAGTTAATAATCTCCAACCTTAATACTACCCACATATGATATATTTAACTTGACAATTACAGTCAAACTCACATATGTTTGCTATAAAAAAATTGATAAGTGTAGTAGCACGTTTGGACATAAACTGAATGCTCAACTGAAAATAATATATTGTACACAGTTGTTTATAGCATGTTAATGGTTTATTTGAAGTGCTGCTTCATTTAACATTTGCAGATGATTCATTTATTTCTTAACCTTGCATATGTTTGTCTCCATCAACACAGAAGTATTTTATTTAAATTACATTATTTTACCTCTGATTTTAAAGACAATTTGGAACAACCAGACTATGCATTAAACCCATTCTGAGAAAAAAAAAAACTTATCTTGATAAGTTCAACCGACATGATATCCTTATACAACCATAAACAGTATGCTAGTATACTTAAGCATCCACAGAAATTTTTTCTGGGGGAGGGAGGGGGGGAGGGTGC